TTACTCAGGACAGTCCCAGTTTTGAGCCCTGTGTCCCCTGTCCCAGTGGATTTATCCAAAACCACTGATTTGTCCTAGTTTTATACAAGAAATGTCCCATGTGTCCCTATTTTTGACCAATCTGATCTCTGCCAACAGCAAAGGAAGGCATAAATTCTCATTTGTTTCTGTAAAATACAAAAAAGCTGCTTAAAAATGATCAAAACACAAAGAAAATGTGAATATACTGACTCATTAGTGCCAAGTGCAGAACTATTTTCCATAATTACGTACTTGTTTCATAATTTTATTATTACTAACCAACCCAAACCAGGGCTGTCCCTGTCTTTTATTTTGTCACCCTGGGTATGTTAGTTAGCATGGAGGAAAATGAAGTTGATTTTTGTGACAAAAATTGCAATTCAATGTAACTATAAGGCCACATTACCATACTACCTCAAAAGCAGGACTATAATGTAATTTGATATTAAAGGTGCACTGTTTATGGGTCAATCTACGTTCCTACTCTCCCCTATGGTCATGAGCTTTTGGTAATAACTGAAAGGACAAGATCGCAGATACAAGTGGCTGAAATGAGTTTCCGCCACAGGGTGGCTGGGCGCTCCCTTAGAGATAGGGTGAGGAGCTCAGTCACGCAGGGAGGAGCTGCTTCTTCACGTTGAGAGGAGCCAGTTGAGGTGGCTCGGGCATCTGTTCCGGATGCCTCTTGGACACCTCCCTCGGGAGGTGTTCCGGGCATGTCCCACCAGGAGGAGGCCCCAGGGAAGATCCAGGACAAGCTAGAGGGACTGTGTCTCTTGGCTGGCCAGGGAATGCCTTGGGATCCCCCCGGAGGAGCTGGAGGAAGTGTGCATGGAAAGGGAGGTCTGGGAATCCCTGCTTGGACTGCTGCCTCCGCGCCCCGGATAAAGCGGAAGAAAATGGATGGATGGTGCACTGTGTAACTTTATTGGCAGAGGGTTCACCACTTCAGTGTTGTTGTTTTTTTCAGAAATTATCTAGAGTATGGCATTTAATTTAACTATCTCCATGGAGACAAGTAAACCACATTACCAGGCCAATTTACAGGTTAGATCAGTGGGGAAGTGGACCTGTAATAATAATTCATGTTTTTGCGGTAGTTTTGAGAAATAAACACACCTGTAACTGAATGAATAAAAATATATATTTGTTTAATACTAACATCGCAGACAAAGTAATAACGTCACCATGGAGACAAGCAGCCTACACCAGAAAAGTTACACAGTGCACCTGTAAGTAAATATACCTCTTCCTCAGTACTAAACTAGGATCAATAGAGGATCAAAGTGACAGAAGTACAATATAGTAGTCAAACAGCCCAATAAAAGTACAAGTATTAGAGTACAAGTTAGAAGATGTAAACTGACTTGTGTCCGAATGTCCACTCTGGTCCCTAACCCCTCAAACACTACATTATCACTACACTCTTTAGAGGACTACTCTACTACATAGGGCACTCTCAGCCCACTACTTTCAGATCACATGAATCTGATGTATGTGTCAAAAAAACTTCAGCTAAACTCAAACAAAAATTAATTTCTTTAAAAAATATGAATCAAATATGACTTATGGAACTCATGTAAACGGATTGGACTCTTCATCTTTTTGGCTGAGAAGAGGAAACCGTCACTCTATTAACTGGGTCAGTGCATGAAATATCTGTTTCATTCAGTCGTGTTGTGTCTAGTTAAAGACCTGTCGCTGTCTGCTGTTTATTTTCCAACTCTCTCCATGTATTGTAGAATATATTGACTTATCTGACCATCACTGGACACTACTTTTTAAGGTGCATTGTGGGTCGTTCTGAGTGTACTACTTTTTCACTCACTGGACATTCGAAAATCACTAAAAATGTCATGACCTCTTTATAGTGCCCTATGTAGGGGATAGAAGCCTAGCAGTGAAGTGGTAATCTCTGTAAATTTGTCAGTATCACAAATGAAATCTCAAATGTAAGAGTTTTTGAATTACTTTGGCATAATATTTCTTATTTTAACAAACATTTCTTGCTACTGCATTTTCCAAACACATTGCTACAGTGATGCTATCTTCATCTAGGCCTAATAGAACCATCACATTAAACAGGATATTGGTCTCACAGAGGAAGTGCTCCCAAAGACAACACACACACTTCACTCAGACTGGGTTAGGCTCACACTGACCTTGGGAAAATAAAAAAGGCAATTTACATGCAAATGATAGTGCTGGCATTTGGGGTAATTGCCAGTCGTGGTGTTCACATAATTTCATACAACAGCACTATATCGAAACTGCAAAGTAAACAAGGGAACTGCTCGGACAATGAGATACATTTTCAAATCAATGTTCAGTAGATTCAAATTGGATTAAGCAGCCTGGCATTTAGGCTGTAAGCAATTAATCACATCAGACTTGTTTATCTGGTGAAATAGTGTAGATTCAATGGAGCTTCTTGGGAGCGGGTCCCAAGTGCCAGCTGCAAAAATGATAAAAAATGGAAATTTGAATCTAAAATTAATTCTCATTCTAAACCCTGCTGAAAATAACACTCTAGTCCTCAATGGGCATGTTGGAATTTGTGCAGGAAGAGATTTCGAAGAATCTGAGGATAGAGCGTCTCCTTTCATCTTTTGGTGGTCAGAAAGAACACAAACAAACAGTTTCACAGACTACACAGGAAAGTAGCAACAGAGACCACAGTTCGGACAAAGGCATTTTTTTACAAAGTGGATTAAATATAACAAAAATACAACAAATTTGAACATTTAAATCTGTAACAGGAGCCCCATGTCCAAACAAGGCCAACACAACACAAACTCTGGTTCATGCAAACCTAAATTATGACACAATACAGCTCCTGCAGTTGTCGTCACGCAATGCACCTCCAAATCCCACGCTGGCAGAGGTCACGGCTGAGAACTCCCAAAGAAACTGGACCATATGTGGGAAGTGAACAAACTTTAGAGGAGTTTCAGAGATTGTGGATTATTGTTGCGCACCAAGATGTCCACATAATCAAGAGCAGAAGAAAGCCTGAGCCTTATAACGAATTGAGAAAACTGCAGATTGATGGTAGAAAGTCTGAATTTATGATTACCAATTATATTTTTGCTCTTTGTTATTATAATTGTGATGTGTAAGCTACTTTGTCCAAATAATTTCCCTTGTGGATCAATAAAGTTTGACTAGTCATTTAAATCATATTTTTACTTTTCATACATGGCTTATGTAATTAAACTAACAGATGAATGGAAGAATTAAAACAGTAAAAGGTTAGGGGCACATGATTTGAATTGGTTATAGAAGAAGAAAAATGTGGTTATCAGTAGTACTGTTCCATTTTTTCAGACGGAGGGCTTATTAGCCAGGCTGGTGCCACCTAGTGCCTCCACTCAATTTCATTTCTCTCCAGCGACTAGGTCAGAAATCGGAATACACTAGTCGGTTTGCAAGAACCCCGGAAGTTGTAGAATTTTAATTTTAATTTATTTGTTTGGAGGATAAGCCCCGCACACCGGCCAATCAGCGAAGAGCTGTGACGCCATGACGTCAAACTCAAGAGCCTGTCTGGGTCCCTTTTGTGGAACAGCACAACAGTAAACTAAGAGGTCGAAATGGATGTAGACAAAGTCATACATTCTCTGTTGGCAACGATTCCCGAGGTCGAGGATTTAAAGCCGAAACAAAGAGAATTGTTTGGTGAATTTTATCAAGGGGAAAGACATTATTGCCCTTCTTCCTACAGGATTTGGCCCATTACATATGTCACGCTCAAATAGCAGCGATAAAAGGTACCCGCCTACCGTCAAGCAAACGAACCCTAATGCTGTGAAGTCAGACGGTTTCCACGAAGTGAAACCTGCTGATGAATCCAGCTAGGGGCTTACATTACATTATGGGAAATTCATTGTGTTTCAAGGAAATAGCCAAATTTATGATCCACAAATGCCAAATTTTACCATAACAAAGGGATTGACTAATCTTCTACTTAGAATCTTTACTGACACCAATTACGTCTTTGTGTCTGAATAATGACACCCCATTCACATAACAAAAATAGACAAAAATAGACACAAGCCAAATCTACCACAGAATTCTGACATGTCCTCCAGCTAAATTTTAAATTAAGGGGATTCAAATGTTGTGAAGTCAAGTGAACCCAGCCTATAACATTTTACTTGCTCTTTTAAGTATACGCTGCATTCAAGGACGTTTCCATCGGAAGTTGGATCTAACTTTGAACCATCACAGTTTATTTCTTCTCACCTGAGCCGTTGAAAGGCCAAACACAGTGTCTGCTATCGACCGCTTGATTGATTCTCCGTGACTTACCTCTCATTATTTTGTGGTGTTTGTTGTGGCACTGTTCCAGCGTTGGGAGCGTCACTGTCCCTGGTGGGATGGTTAGTCCAAGTCGAGCGGAACAAGATGGCGGCCGAGGGTTGGAGCAGTGGACAGAAGAAAGGCCAGAGCTAATGAGCAGCACAGGGACTACCTTCAAGTACAAAGAGAGAGGGATGAGATTTCACCAAAACTGGACAGTGTAAGATTTAGGTCTGCGAGCCATATCACAAAGTCAAGCTATACATTTTGTCCAAGTGAATTTTTTACATTTCTATAAGAGCAGATCATTTTCTAAAGTACTCTTCCTTTGACATAAAGGTTGGTGATCAATTCCCATTTCCAGGAATGACACTGAGTACTTGAGCAAGGCACGTAACCCACATTTTTCTCTAGTGTCTATTTACATACATTACAACAGCAAAACATTAGTCTGTGACTTTAATTACTGGAGAAGTTTTCAGATAAATCCAACAATAAATGATCAAAATGTATGATACAAATTCCAGGTCGATCGTAGTCATCATACCAGTAGTAGTGGCAGTAAATGTAGTAGTAGTCATAATAGTGGTCATCTTCATAGTCTTAGTAGTAGTCATAGTTGTCGCCATTGTAAGTTGTAACATGTCTATAATAACAGGTTTTTTGGGTGTGTTTTTGTCGTCGTTGGGCACCATCATTGTCCATTGGGCATTGATCAGTGGTCATCGTCACCAGGTGTCATCAGGCGTTGTCCGTCGGCGTCCATCGTTATAATCATAGTAGTTGTCACAGTAGTTGTAGTAGTCATTGCAATAGTAGTCAGCGTAGTTGTTGTAATAGTAGTAGTAGCAGCGGCCATTGTGTATCGTAGGTCATTGTCTCTCATCTTCCATTGTCGTAGTCATCCATCGTCGCCATCCGTCATCCGTCATCATCGGTCGTCCTCTGGCATTATCGGGTGTCAGCGCCTCCACAGCAGCAGTAGTTGTAGTAGTACTAGTAATAGAACACAGTAGTAGAACACATTTAATATCTCTGCAACTTAAATCACCCAAAGCTACAGATAAATGCAGCATATTCGTGTACTTGATTAGAATAACAAAGTCCAGACTCCACAGTAAACCTGCACAACTGACAGGTGCAGACAGAGCACCTGCATGTTTCCTCACATCTCTGGCTCCCTCACAGGTCCCACCGCTGCCTGTCTCAGATTGAAGTCCGACCCAGGCAGAATGTCTTATGAGCTCCATGAATAATGCATGTGTTTAGACCACTTTATTTGCTCAGCTTGTTTTGGGGGCCGCAAGGAAAGACTGACTTTGATTTAATCTGTTACAAAGCGAGAAAAGGACAGTGCCCAATTTGTAATTCACTGCTAGGAAAAATGGCAGCATTTACTTAGGGACAGGCGGTTCTAGTCAGATTCATAAGAATAAGGATTTGTGTGCGAAGTGTGATAACCTAAATTCAGTTATGGAGTGAGGGAGGATGAAAATGTGAGGGATCTACAGGGAAATACATCACAGTAAACCACTGCATGTACTTTGTCTCAAGCTTTCAAAAGAGGCATCCATAAAAGATTTCTCATGGCAACAATAAGATCTGTGCATTTTTATGGATCTACTCAAAGAGATTTATTAAAGTAGACCTATTATGCTAAATTTACTTTTCAAACCTTTTAACCATGTTATAGTTGTTTGGCTTTCTCATTTACCCTCTCGATGTTGTATTTGGAGTGATTTGTGCATGTTTGAGTCATCTTTAATTGCTTATTTTCAAGACGCCATATTGCCAATCAATCCCCGGTTTCAACGCCACTGGCATATACACACACTTCTCTGGGCTTGCTTGTTGTCCAATTAAATTTTCTTAATTGGTGATACACGTAGGATTCAAATGAAAAAAATACACTACGTGATGCAGTTTTCTAATGTGGAAGTTAGTGGACTTGTTTCTTTTATTAAGTCGTTGTACGCTTAAAATGTGCAAATTAGAGCATAATGATCCATGTGCGTCACAGACTATAAGTACATAGCAGGCTCAAGCAAAATATGTGTTTTAAATTACAAGGAAAGAGAAATATGCCTGAATGTGTCTTAATGTGTGCAGGGTCACTGCTTCACAGATCTCACCTGTGACTTGGCCTCGGGCTGATTGTTTCCATGGAGATGGATATGTATGTCATACTGTGGAACATTCAGGCACAGTAATAACAATTACATGGAAATAAGCAGGTGTCACAAAAGTTACACAGTGCACCTTTAAATGAATGAATTATAAATATATAATTCATTTAAATGAATGAATTATATGAAAATGTATTGTTATCATTGCTTTTACTGATAACCACACCCTGCACTGATCCAGTGGGTGAGTGGCGTGTGTTATCCAGACTCTGTATTGCCTTCATCACAGCCCGTCGTGGGCTCCATTATTGATTGAGTTACTGCAGAGATAAGTCCATCCGGAAGAGAAGATGGGCCTCATGCGGAGCTGCCTGTCCACATGCCACGCCACTGTCCTCAGCTGGATGTCTGTGTAATTTCAACATTAATTCCACCGAAGTGAGCCACAGAAAAGAGTTGTTGTCGATTGAAATGTCAACCCACTGTTTGTTTAAATTGTCCCTGGAAGTTTAAAGATTGGGAATTACACGTGACAGGCAGGACACAGGCAGGCAGGCAGATTAAGATCAAGTTTAGCAGTCAGCAGAGACAAGTAAAGAGCCTGTAGATCTCTATAGTGGTCTAATAGCATTGATGTTGGATTGAAGGGACAAGTGGAAGAGCTTAAATAAACACACTCTGTATCCCGGAGAGAGAGCAGAGGTGAGGGCATGTCTATGCTATGACATAATAATGTTTAATCAGCAACACTTAGATTACGAAACTTTCACTCATGTTATAATAATGGTACCTCCACAAAAACATACCCAGAGTTGTCTCTGGTTTCATTCACACATGTTTGATATCATGTAGTGGTAGTTTTCAAGTTAACAGCTACCTTTTATCTTTTGTTCAGTAGAAATTCCAAGACTAAAATCATCTAAACGATTCTAGTGAAGGTGTATGGAGTACTTCCTGTATTGCTGCATGACATCACAAGGTGGAACAGAGTGTTTTGTGTTTGAGAGTAGAACAGCCTAAATATGGAAGATTTGTGTTTTATTTTAAACACGTGTGTATAAAACAAAACTCCAGGTATGTTTGTGATGAGAAAACATCATAATCTAGGCCCTTTGGGTGTAGTTTATTGGAAAGTGGTGCCTACTGTACTTGAAATTTGAAAAATATTGACTTTCATAGATCATTTTACATATTATGAGAGTTTAAATCTTCGAGTTAAATTAGGTGTTTTTGCATCCTAATGTATTCAAGGCCTCTCCAGTCATTTCTACAGTCAAATATAGTGAGTAAACATAAGAGCAATACCTTAACATTACCGTCAAGTCTTGCAATGATGATCTGCAAATGTTTTTTGAGAGTCTGCTATAGTATGGTTGACACAACATAATACCACATAATATGGACTGAATTTTGTTTTAAGAGCCCATATTGTGCCCTTTTCTGATCTTATGTTGTTTCCTCACCAAACACATATTCATACTTGTGTTAATGTGTCAATACAGGAAGTGCTCCATGGTGTTTTTAAACTTCATGCATCTTCACTAAAATGATTTGGGTAATTTCAGTCCTGGAATTGGTAATCTCTATTGAACTAAAGGTGGAAGGTTGCTGTTATCTCTGTCACAAGGTGGAACAGAGCATTTTGAGCGTTAGAGATGTAGACAGACTAAAAATGCAGGATTACTTAATTAAACAAAACTCAACTCTACATAAGTTTTTGAGGAGGTAACATTATAACATGGTTTAAAGCTCACAAGAGTCAATTTTACAAAATATAGGATCTTTAATTTCGATGATGTACGTTAAAGACATTTTGTACATTTTTCTATACTGTCCCATTCAAACAACCAGTTAATACAATAAAATGAGTGTAATTTCTGTGGATTTGAACATCTATTGTGGTGCCAGTGAATAAGCAGAAATAAAACGGAAAACAGCCAAAAGCACCGCTCTAATAACCTTGAACACCATAATCACGCTCAAAAGTCACCCTGGTTTTCATTGAACTGGTTAAGCCCAGAAAAGCCTAGTCTCTGAAGCCCTTGAAATCTCTGGATTACCCCAATAGCGCTAATTTAGCCGTAGCCTCAAGCAGCGAACAAGCTAATTTCCTGGCGTGTCAAAATTAATGAAGGAGATAATAGAGAAAACGCACACACTTCCTATACTAGTACATAGACAAAGTAGGCACACACACACAGAAATACTACGTACAGTATCCTTTATATGAACCCAGAAAGTGAGTGAGTAGTTGGAAAGTAGGTTAGCAGTGGAACACACAGAATCCAAACACGGGAACTGCACCAGCACATTCAACACCACAGCCTCCCTATATGTTTACCTCGGACAGATAATGTACCACATAGGAAATATTGCTTCTTTATCTTGATGGAATCTTTTGTGTAGGGTGGATTGATTTTGCTGTCTGCTGTTTGACATTATGGGAATTTTGATTAGAATTCAGCTTCTGGATTTGACGAGACTGAGATATGAGGGAAATAGTCATAGTAAGTTTCTAGACATCATGATGGGATTTATCCAAACACGCGCCGTCGCTCAGATGACATAATGAAAAATGTACATGTGCAAAATAACATTAATGAAAAATACTGCCATCAGCACAGAATTACTTTACAAAGATATTACGTTTGAACCGTGTTCTAATTGACCCACTTGACGCTGTGTTTAGAGTGATTCATACAGGCTTTTGAGTTTTAACCCACAGACTGCGTAAAGAAGTGGACTAAGGGAGAGTCATGTCTACTGTTCCATATTAGAAATAGGAAATTTACGGCCAAAATAGCCAAATAAAAAACTAAGGATTATGTAGAATGGGTTAATACGAAAATACAAACATTTTAAGGCCAAAATGAAGAGCCTTAGAGCAGCAGTTACAGAGACAGTGGAGACAGTTTTTCTCAATATCAAGTGAATCGGAGATGGAGTTGATGGAGCCAGAAGCATGCTCATGCTCATTTCCTATTTGGAACATGTCTCCTAGCGGGCTAGCTGTGTCTATTTATATGCATGGTCTATGTTTTTACCAGCAGCCAGCAGACTTGTTTATTTTATGTCGTTTTAAATCATTATTGTGATGGCAATATTTATGATTTTCAATGTGCAACATTTTCAGGACTTTTGTCCATTCAACAGATATATTTTGTTTTAACTTGAAAATTACTGTGCAATGGTCCTAAATTTTCATTATTCTGTAACCAATGGATAGTTATCTGGCTTCTTTAAAATTGTTGTTATAGTTTGTTGTACTATAAATTATACCACAAGCACTGGAGCAGATTTAGAGTAAAAAAAAACAAGGCATATACACAATAACGTCCTTCCTTCATATATTTTATCTAACCATGTATAATATTTGAATGTGTTTTGCAACTTTTCTCATTACTTCTTCTTATACCAGTAGGCTTTAATGTCTGACTTCAAATAGTTTTAATAAGTTTGTTTGAACTCATTTTTGAACACCGCCCACAACTTTCTAAAGTGAATGCCTTCCTGGAATAGGAAAGCAATTGATTACGTCCCCTTCTTTAATCCATCCAGAATCTAATCCTGAGAATGAGACAGGCCTAACAACCAGAGCTATCTATTAACAGCCTTTGGGAGGTAAACATTGCCACGCAGTAATTAAAGACATCTCTAACTGTCACACAAGGCTCTCTCTGATCCAATCCAGACTAAACGCATTACAACGACTGGGGACTCCAGCAAAAGCTATTGTCACGAACTGATAAAAGATGCAGACTTGTGGGCGGTGTTCATTTTGGATTTTCACACGGAGTGACACAAATGTATGTATTTCTTATTGGGCTGTAGAAATCGGAGGATAAACAAGGCCATAGCACTTGTCAGATT